ATAGCAGAGAAAAAACTTCAGTGTTTGTAGTGATTGCATCTTCATACACTCAGTTTGGTCAGTCCATACAGTCCAAATTAGACTTGTCTCCAACCTGCCTAATAGGAACTGCAGATGATTTTGTTCATCTGTGGTCTCCAGGTAAATGATCAGAATTTTCTCTTGTATTTGGAATGTAGTGGGCAATGTTTCTTGGAATATAAGCACTCAAAAGCTAGGCCTACTTGTCATGAAGTCTGCCACATGATAGCAGAAAGAGAAGGATTTATTTTCTTTTTAAAAAGAAAACTGAAAAAATACTTTGGTTGGACTTTTACCTGTCTCATTGACCTAAGGACTAAGAAGTGAAGTAGCCTGGGAAGCTGATCCCAGCTGTAAAAAACAGAATTACAGAATGGTTTGTGTTGGAAGGGACCTTAAAGCTCACCCAGTTCCAGCACCCTGCCACAGGTAGGGACACCTTCCACTAGACCAGACTGCTCCAAGCCCTGTCCAGCAGCCATGCAGCATGGTGCTCTTCTGAGCCAGGCGGCCATACCTATATGGAAGAGCTCTGACTACCCCAGTGTAACCAGACTGATTCCCATGCAAGCAATTTCCCCTTTGAGATAAAAGGTGGATGAAAAGAGAAGACTCACAAGGGCCTCCACCTCATCTTACTGTTTTCTTCTGTTCTCAAGGTGGATTATGATGTTTGTAGCAATTATGGCAACTGGTTATACAGCGCTGGTGTTGGCAATGACCCACGGGACAACAGGAAGTTTAACATGGTTAAGCAAGGCCTGGATTACGATGGCAATGTAAGTCTTCTTTGGCTGTCTTACAATGAATAGTGCAGCAAAGCATCTGTGATAGTTTCAGGGAACAGAGGAGGTCAGCCTGCTACGTGGGTACTGCTGTGTGGAATCTACTGTGTCGAAATGGCAAAAGCCATTCTGTGATCTCCTCCTTGCCAACAGTCAGGCAGGTTCCTCGTTTCACAGGAAGATCTGACGGTTACAATCTGCTGCTGTTCCCAAAGAGGCTGGTGCTCTGTACGCCCTCCCTGCCCTGCTGTTGGTCTGTGCTTAGTGTTTCATCACCATTTCTTCCGGGCAACAGCCACATCCCATCAGTATCTCACACAGCCATTTCCTCGAGCACAGAGCAGCTTCTTGGAGAACTCACAAGTGACAGGAGAGATGGAGCTGCTCCTTGGGAGGTTCTGGAGAGTAGATTAAACTTGTGACTCCTTCGACTGTCCTCTGTAAGTGGTGGGAGCAGATAAATCACCCTTTCCACATGCTTAGCCAGACTTTACACGCTGGATTGCCTGTTTCCTCCCTATTCTTTAGTTTCAGGCAAGCTGCTCTGTTGCCTTTTGGCTAAGTCCTGCCTAGTTTCCTTCAGTCACTGGAAAAAAAAAAAGGACTTCTAGGAAGTCACTTCATATCACTGTGTCTTAAATAGGGCAGGTGAACTGTATCCAAAGAGCACCCATTTCCCTCCTCTGCCTACATCCATGAGAAGAGCTCCAGCATCCAGGTCTCTGTGCTGAGGCACTAATTTTGGGTGGAGAGTTTAGCAGGAGGGGCTAAGGCTTGATCGAGGTAGCTGATGTGGTAGTACACCAGCTTCTTCACCTGGAAATCAGACTTTTCTTTGATATTAAGAAGGACCCTTGCTGGGAAGCACTTACGGATTGTTACTGAATGAATACTGTCCCATTGGTTCTGTTTTCAGGGGGATTATGTCCGGCTGTGGGTCCCAGAACTACAGGGCATAAAGGGAGCAGATATCCACACCCCTTGGGCACTGAGCAGTGCTGCTCTCTCCCAGGCGGGAGTAACTCTAGGTGAGACATATCCACAGCCAATTGTGACAGCCGCAGAGTGGAGCCGACACATCAGCCAGAGGCCCGTGAGTAATGGGAAGGTTGGGATGGGGTGAGAGGGCTTCAGGCACCTGCTCTGTGCCTGTAGGAGTGAGTGTCTGCAAATTTGGCTCTTCTTTCTGAGGTACAATTACTTTAATGCAAAGTCACATTACTTCACAGCACAGGGAGGTCCAGCTTTGCACAGGGACTATTTAGCAATGTCTGTCCTACCAAACTAAACATGGCTGAGGCACAAGCCCAAGTACGAATCCCCTGTACTCCAGACAGTTACAGTTAATGTGCTCCCCAGCACTATTTTTGCCAGGGCCAACAAGCACCTTCCAGAACTTTATCCAAGCATAATTTGAGCATACCACATGCTTAGGACTGTCACAAAATACAGTCCACCCTCCATCATATGGACGTATACTGTGCAGGTTGGTTGGTTTTGAGGCTGAAGCATGAACCATGCCTGTTTTGTTTATTATTTTCTAAGTAGCTTTCCTTAGTCAGGTTTTTCTTCATGGACATACATAGCGCAGACATACCTACCGGTGAATGATGTAAATTTTAGCTGCTTCTTTATCCCATCAGCTCTGTAGTCAGCAGGCCTTAGCCATAGAGAGCATGTCCTTCACAGCATCCTTCCGTGCCCTCTGGACCTTCCCAATGGCAAGCAGGGAGGAATGGGGCATCTCTGAAGGCCTTCACTGGCCTAACCACCCCCTGATGCAGACAGACAGAAGATTGCAGAGGCTAATGTTCAGCTTTTACTCTGTTCTTGAGGTCAAAGTAAAACCAACCAACTTCCTACCATGCTTGAGAGCATCCAAACTGAAGTCAGTAAGATATGGGGACTGGCTCTTGCACTTTGCTTTTTGGGTGTACCTCGCCTTTAGAATGGGGAAAGATTAAGATGTGGATCCTGCAGTATGTCAGGACTTGTATCTGCTGCCTGGGTTGCTGTTCTTGGAGAAGATGGGTATGGAAGGAAAGTGCTCTGTCAGTCTGGTGGGGTCAGTGGTGGTGGAGCTGGAGGGGAAGAAGGAAATAGATGTCACCAATGGTTGTGTATGTCAAGGGGCTCTCATAATTTTGTCTTCCCCCATGCATCCTCCCTGCCTCCTCCCCAGTAAGGATACTTTGTGAAGACTCAGATTTAGTCATCATACTATGTTCAATGAAGAATGAAGGATGTCTCTGTTTCAGGTTTTAATCCTAAGGTGCAGTACCAAGTTCTCAGGCCACATTTCTTTGCCATAACTGGAAAGTTTTGTGGAAGCAAAGCCTTCCACTTTTAGCCATGTTGTTGAGGGGCCTGGATTATCACCCTTCTGTTTAAAAGTGCATCTGAGATCAGAGAAAGGATTTTGTGAAGGAGCCCCTTCATGAGACACTGCTTTGAGGCAGTGATAAAACCTGAACCCAAAAAGGTCCTCCGCCAGGCGGGAGTTCTGTTCTGATCAATGTTCCAGCTCACTTTGGGCTCTGTGGGCCTGTGCTGCCACACTGTGCTTATGGAATTAACATATGACTGGGGGGGACTGTCGGCCCAGTGTCACTGAGGCCTGGAGAAGACGACTCCTCACCCCCCAAATGGAATATCAAAATACCTTTGAAAATACAAGCTCATACCTTACCACAAGCCCTAGTTTCCCCAGTCCAAGCCTAGAGCTGCCAGGCCTCCCCACCTTCTTAGTGAACTTGAGAGTAGAAATGCCACTGCTACATTTTCCTGCATGTCAGGGCTGCTTTGTGATCAGACTCGCTCTGCAGCATGGGTAAATATCTCACTGTTCATCTTCAATCTGCTGCAGGGAAGAAGTCCCCACCCCAGGGGCAGGAAAGGACCTGCACACTCACCAGTGCAGCACAAGGTCAGAGGGATAGATTTTTACTTTTCTCGCAAGAAAGATGCATGATGAAGGCTGCCCATCCACAAGCCTGCTGGGAAAGTGCTTGGGGGGAGCGTTCACTGCTGAAGATGCCAGGGGAGCGGTTAATCTTGATCCAAGACAATGACACAAGTCTGGCCGCAGCAGAGTACGTCGGGATGTGCCTGTTCATTGTTCCCAGGGACATGAGCTGGATGTGGATGTGTGGAGGCTGGGTATTAGCATTGGCTGTGGTGATCAGATCTTGTGTTTTCGCTGTGGTACTGAGGCTGTGAGCTCCTGGGCAGTTCACCCATTGCTCCCCAGGAGTGGCTGCCCTTCAGTGCTGAGGCTGTGACTGCCATGGGCAGTGTGTTCCTCTCACCTTTGTGAAGTCCATTGGTTGAAAGGGACTCTCTAATTGATACTAATTAACAAAATTGTGTGGCTTTTCTATTTGGAGGAAGTGTGGCTGCTTTTCCAGGGCCTCTTGCCACTGGTGCTTACGGCTGTTACAGCTAAATTTCCACTTCCCTTTACAAACTGAAGCAGATGATAGTTTATGTGGCAGGTGTTCAGTCAGAACTCTTTCTAGTGAACTTTCTTACGCTGATTTTTCATGGTCTAAAGCTTAAAAACTACCAATCATGAGATTAAAAGTTTTGCTACTGGAATATTTTGTCTTCCTCATTTCCACAGAGATCCATAGACAGAGTGGGACTTCAGAGGACATTCTCCTACTGTGTCTCCTACAGTACTTTGGAGAAACAGTAAGTTCCTCTTGAAAATTGCTCTGGAGTCCTTGCAGCATCAGGTTGCTTTTGGTACCAGCCTGGAAGCTTGAAACTGTTCAGCTCATAGCTGAGAAACGTGTTTTGTACTCAGCATCCAAATCAGTTTAAAATGGTTCCTGTCCATTTTCATCAAGGAATCACAGAATGGTTTGGGTTGGAAGAGACCTTAAAGCTCGTCCAGTTCCAACCCATGAACCACGGGCACGGACACCTTCCGCTAGACCAGGTTGCTCAAAGCCCCGTCATGTCTGGCCTGTATGGGAATGGACGAAAACAGCCTTAGGGACCTCACTCTTCCCCGCGGCGCAGAAGGGCCTCTTCTCCCCCACCACCCCCCGGGCTGCCCCACGTCTCCGTTAAGGAAGGAGCGAGCCGAAGCGGCGGGTAGGGCGGGCAGAGCCCGGCGGGAGGCGGGGCGAGGCGGGAAGCGAAAGGGCCGCGGAGCCGGGCGGGGGAAGTTGCGAGAGCCGCGCGGCCATGGCCACGGCGCCGGTGTGCCCCGACTCCGACTCCGGCTCCGGCCCCGGCCCCGGCCCCGGCCCCGACCCCGGCCCCGACCCCGACTCTGGCTCCGGCTCCGGCTCCGGCTCCAGCCTCGCCGCGTCGCCGCCAGACCTCCACGCCATGCCCATGGTGGCGCTCAACTACAGCCTGCGGCGCCGCCTCAGCCTGTACCTCAACCCGCGGGCGGCGGCGGCCGCCGACTGGACGACGCTGGCGGAGGCGCTGGGCTGCGAGTACCTGGAGATCCGGTGTCTGGAGGCGCAGCCCGACCCCACCGCCGCGCTGCTGGAGGACTGGCAGTGCCGATGCCCCGGCGGCGCCACCGTCGGCCGTCTCCTCGACCTCCTGCGCCACCTCGGCCGCGACGACGTCCTCCTCGACCTGTCCGGCAGCGTGGGTGAGGCAAGGCGGCATCTCCCCTTCCTTCCTCTTCCCTCGGGGCGGCGGGAACGGGGATGGGGTGTCCGCGGGCCGCGCTGGTGCGGGAGCCGCGCCGGTGCGGGAGCCGCGCCGAGCCTGCCGCCTCCTCTGTGGGGCTGATGTGGGTTGGGGCTTAGGGCTCTCTTGGGTGAGGTTCTCGGCACCCTCTACCACAGCAGGGCCCAGTTGATCTCGGTGCCGGGAGGGAGCGGATGCTGCTTGCTTCGGGCTTTGCTGCTCTGTCCGGGGAGGGGATGTGAAGAACTACCCTGCTCAAGCAGAAAAGCCCTTTACCAGGCCGCGGAGTTACCTCCTCGGTGTTTCCATCAGAACCCTGCGCAGCTTCCAGGAGAGAAGGGAGAAGTGTGCTCTATTTCCACTAGCCATAAGCCCTGCAAAGTAATCTGGAGCCCTGTATTATACTAAACCTTCAATAATAAAGTTCTGTGTGTCAAAGGATGCTTTGGGCCAGGTCAGCCAGGAGGCATCTTGCACTGACACTGCACAGTGTGAGAATTGCCATGTGCGGGTCCAGTGTGATAGGAAGATAGAGGGAGAGGTGAGGAATGTGTGGAACTGGGTAATGGAAGGAAAAATAATTAACTGGATAAAGGAAAGAAAAAAAAGAGTTCCTCAAAAACTGAAAAAATGATAGGTCAGTAAGCAGTGTGAAGGTCCTACTGCTGTTGTGATAACCTGTTCTGTATAGACTCTTTGTATTCCGCATGATCACGGAAATTCAGAGGGAAGTCGGCTGTCATCAGAGGGGAATTTCATTGCCAAAGGATTTCCAAAGCAGGAGACTCTATTGCGGGCCTCTGTTGTATAATTCAGCTTCCTGGGCTAGCGATGAAGAAATAATAACTTTCATTTCCTGTTACTCACGGAGATAAGTGAAAATGTAGAAACTCATCACTGTAGAGAGCCTGACCCAAAGCAATGGAGGAGTTCCCTGTATTCCTGCTGTTCTCCCTACTAAGGACCATATGCTGGAGACTCAGTTTTTGGAAAGACCGAACCAAATCAGTGTGCTTCATGATCCTCTCATCAGAGGTTTATAATGTGGTGGATGGTGTTTTCAGAGCCTGAACAGACAGCATTAGAGTGAGGGGTAGGAACCTGAGCTTCAGGGAAGTCACAAGTTTGGCCTGGTGGGAGGTCATGCTGATAAGAGGAGACTGATAAATTCGTGGAAAAAAGACCCACTGAGGGCGATTCAACACAAAAACAGTGCTCCAGACTCAGGAAATTCCTCATCTACAAATGGTCCGATAGGTAGATTATAAAAATAGATGTAGATTATGCCTAAAAGAGGATAATTTTAGGAAAATAAGCAGTGTATGCTTATTTTATCCTTACATTCTCCCCATGGCATCTAGTTTTGGTTACTGCTGGAGACTGGACGCTGGGGTAGGTGGACCCCCAGCCTCACCCAGCCATGGCCATTCTTCTGTTAGTATTTTTGGCTGAGGACTGCAGATGGGGCCTGTGACCTGTTGCTGGAGCTCCCAGCTCTTGCAGAAAGTAGAGATATTTATGCTCATAAGAGGAAAAGACAGTTGCGCACTTTCATGCACAGCTGCCAAGGGCACCTCTCTGAGCGCTGTTAGGACTCCTCAGTGTGATTCAGCTCAGAAAACACCAGCATCGAGTTTCTGTGGTCTGTGCTTTCATCGTAGGAGGAGCAGATCTGGGGCATGAAGGCTTCTTGAGTCAATTGAGAGGTGTCAGGATGACTGCTGGACACAGGTCGTTCGTAGGGCCAATGTTGTACCTGCTGCCTACAGTGGATATCCCACATGCTCTGATGTCTCTGGAATGACACCTCATGCCCTTGTGCAGTCAGATGAACTGAGCTCCTTGGGGACACAGCATCCCTGTTAAACACAACTCCTTGGTACTCTGTGGCTCCAAAGGGTGTGTTTGGTTTGTGGTTTCGGCCTGTCATTGCGTGCTCCATCCTGGCTCTGCTTGGGATGCTAAAAATCAGTGTCTCCTGTGGCCTTGATAGTTCCACGTTTGGCAGCTCTGCGCACTGGGGCTGTGTTAAGGAACTCCCCTGGTGCACTGTCTGGAGTACAGACACTTGCAGGACTGTGATCTCTCTCAGCATTTATTTCATTGTACAATCATTTTAGGGATGTGAAGCTCTCTGCTTCAGTAGGTTTATGCTCTTCTTCCTGCTGAAACTCAGTGATGTTTGTTTCTTCCTGGCCCATTATAGAAGCGCTACTTCCCTGCTTGACAGTTAGTGGGTCTGTTCTCTCCGATCATTTTGCACTTTAGGTTTCATGCTTTTATTCTTTCTGTCCAATACCTCAGACTTTTGCTTGGTTGTTAGAGGAATGTAAAGCCTGCACTGTGTTAGATGCTGGGTGACATGGGACATCTTAGGTTGGATGAGTTTCTTGCTACTTTATTGTGTTGGTTTGCATCCTTTTATGGATAAAGCCTTTCTGGGCCTGCAAAGTCATCTCTAACCCCTGTTGGCTCTCACTTACCTGTACAGCTGGGCACTGTTCCCAGCTGGGGGCTAATGCCAAATTAGTGAATGTCATTCATCCCTTTAGGTTCACTGCACATTTTGGCAGTTTCAGTGCAATAGGGCCCCTGGTTTGCACTTGTAATAAAACCACAAGCCTCAGTGGTTTGTTTTGAGAGCTTTGCCGAGCTTGCAGTTTTATTGTAGGGATAAGAGGGGTTATACAGCCCTGATACAGGCTGAGGGAGCTAGAGCTGTTCAACCTGGGAGAAGGCTCTGTTGAGACCATAGAGCAGCTTCAGTGCCTAAAGGGGGCCTATGAGAAATCTGGAGAGAGACTTTTTACAAGGAAATGCAGGGATAGGACAAGGGGGAATGTTTTTAAACTGACAGAGGGAAGATTTAGATTAGACATTAGGAAGAAGTTCTTCTCTGTAAGGGTGATGAGGCCCTGGCACAGGTTGCCCAGAGAAGCTGTGGCTGCCCCATCCCTGGCAGTGTTCAAAGCCAGGTTGGATGGGGCTTTCAGCAACCTGGTCTAGTGGAAGGTGTCCCTGCCCATGACAGGGGGTTGGGATAGATGAGCTTTAAGGTCCCTTCCAGCTGAAACTGCTGTATGATTCTGGTTTGAGATTACAGCACAATGCTATCAGAACACTTGGGTTAAAGAGAATGTGTGTCAGCCATGAGTGGTGTGCTGATGGGTTTCTGGTCTCCAGTTTATTAAAACACAGGTCACAGAAGCATTGGTGCCAGTTCTGCGACTGGGAGAAGCAAGAAGAGAAGACATGGAGCAAACACACTTAAAATGAACGTCTCTGTACTGAGCAGTAGTATTAGTATGCCTTTAAATAATTGTCTATTCTTGCCTATTCAGCAATATTTTGGATTGTGACCATGACTACATGGGAAACAAGGCATGTTTAAGGTGGAGCTTGCATGCGAGTCCTTCATGTGGAACTTCTGAACCCACTGGCCAATTCAAAGTGGCTTAAATCATAATTTTAAAGACACTGACTTATCTGATATGAAACATGCACACCTCAGGGCAACAGGCAGAGAGGTGGGACCCGTAGTGAGGCAAGATCTGAAATCTGAACCTTCTGGCTGTTGAAGAATGTGGCTGGTTCTTCTTTTCTGCAGGACTGGGGAGGAAGGGAGAAGAAACAGGCACTGGGAATGCCTCAGCCTCAGGAAAAGCCTCGATCAGATCTGACACCTTATTAGAGGAGATGATCCAGTTACAAGATGCAAAACTATGCGACAGAAGCAGAAGACAGGCTTCAGAAGCTGGACTTCTATCAGGCCTGCTCAGTACCAGTGAGGACTGTGCTACAGCAGTGCTTACTTGGTTCCTGCCTGCATCCTGCCCTTCCAGAAGATCCTTTACTCTGCAGCTGCTGTTGTACTGGTGATCTCAGAGGTGTGCCAGTCTGACCCTCTGAGTGATCAGTGCTTTTCTGATTGATACTTGTTGGGGTTTTGTTTAATCGTACATAAAGGAGAAAGCTCTAGAGAGTTTCATTTTGTTAATTCCAGGTTTCAAATCTCCTTTTACTTTCAAGTTCTTCTGTGGCTGCATATTGCAGAGGCTGCAGGGTTTCTTGTCACTTCTCTGAAGACTTAACGTTTAGATTTATAATCAATTTTAAAACATGACCTGTTTAAAATAGATCTGTGTCCATCACTGTCCTGTTTGGGAAGTTGCAAACATGACAGGCCTGCTTGCCTTTCAGTTATCTCAGAGTGGGGGCACACACTCACTGCCTGAGACAGAGGATCTCCAGTGGTGGCTCCACAACGTAAAGCCTGTTTAAGGCCTCCCTAGAATTTTACATGTCCTCATGTGTGTGGTGAGTGTATGTACTCATGGTCGTCAGCTGCAGTTCTGGCTGACAAAGGCCAGTGGTATGAATCAGCCAGTATGTGTCTATTGTTTAGTAACAGATAATATGAAGACTTCTAATTGAGAATCCCCAACCCCCAATAATTAAATACTCCAAAATGCATAACAGTCATAGAGTCACAGAACGGTTTGGGCTGGAAGGGACCTCAAAGATCATAGAGTTCCACGCCCCTGCCATGGGCAGGGACACCTGCCACTAGACCAGGTTGCTCAAAGCCACGTCTAGTCTGGCCTTGAACACTGCCAGGGATGGGGCAGCCACAGCTTCTCTGGGCAACCTGTGCCAGGGCCTCAGCACCCTCACAGGGAAGAGCTTCTTGCTAATGTCTCATGTGTTTCAGTTTAAAGCCATTCGCCCTTGTCCTTTCTCTACCTGCCCTTGCCAAAAGTCCCTTACCAATTTCCTATCAGCCCCTTTAGGCAGTAGGAGGATGCTCTAAGGTCCCCCGTGAGAGCATCCTCCAAGTACCTCCAGGCTGAACAAGCCCAGCTCTCTCAGCCTGTCTCCATAGCAGAGGTGCTCCATCCCTCTGATCATCTTTGTGGCCTCCTCTGGACTCACTCCAACAGCTCCACATCCTTCTGTGTTGTGGGCCCCAGAGCTGGACACAGGACTGCAGGTGGGGTTCTCACCAGAGCAGAGCAGAGGGGGCAGGATCCTCTCCCCTGACCTGCTGGCCACACTGTTGGTGATGCAGCCCAGGATACGGTTGGTTTCTGGGCTGGAAGCGTGCACTTCCTGATCATGTTGAGCTGGGTCACGAGTACGACAGTAGAGTTGAGACCTGTTTTGTACATGATGCATGCTTTTACAAGTGTACTGGAATATACTAGAATTAAGGATATAGGAGGAGATTTGTTTAAAATGAATAAGAGAAAGTACTTCTGTAAATAGCAAGGGTGAGCTTCAGGAATTAATTGCTAGAGGAGGTGGTGGAGGCAGCATCAACAGGTTCAAAAAGGGGTGAGAGAAATTCTAGGTACCAAAAAACCCAGGTAGGGTGTTTCCCTCTAATATCCCTGATCCCTGAAATAGCTATTCCCATTTTAAAGAACTCCAGCAGTGTAAAACCACCATCACAGCAGTGTCTTGCATTGGTTGTGTGCTTTTGCAGAGGAGGACTGTAGGAAGTACTTACAGAAGAAGCAGGAGGAGGCTGACCAGCCGCTTCAAGTGCCAGCAGTAGACAGCAGTGTGCCAAGGACATCAGAGCTGATGGGCATCACCACCAGGGATGATCCCTATGGTAAGCACCCATGATTACACTGCGGCATGGTGCCTCATGCTGGAATTGTCATCACCTGCAGCAGGCCCCTGTGAGAAATGCAGAAAACCTGTTTGCATTAATTACTCCCCGCGACTCTTCATAACCTGGATTGCTTTAGCTGGTAGTCATCATTTTTCCTGTCACCAAGGGCGGAGAGGAAAAGCAACCCTGGGGAACACCATACCCAGAAGAAGGCTGGCACAGAGCCCACTGCATGCGCATGGGAGGAGACTCCCCAGAAACTTGTCCCTTAAGCACAGCCTGCCACAGAGCAGCAGCTGCTGAAAGCCTGGTGGGTTGGAGTCAAGGGGGAAGGATGTTAGAGCTGATTGCCTTGGCTACGCTGCCCTGTCTTCAGCAGATGTAACCACCACAGATATAAAGGGATCAGAGTTTGAAGCAGGCTGGGTGGGAAGCAGGAAACAAAGTTCTCTGTAATTAATGTGTGTTTGCTGGGCCCTGTGTGTGGCTCTGCCTGTGCAGCTGTGTGCCAGGCTGTGTGCGCAGCTGCTGGCTGAGGAAGTGCACAGCCTGTAAAGCTCTGTGATGGAGCAGCAGCCGAGGTGAATGGAGATGTGTCAGCTCTCCTCTTCACTGCTCCCCTGGCTAGTCTGACTTTCAGTGGCCACCTTTCACAAAGACTTTTTACAAGGCTTATAGGAATAGAACAAGGGAGGAATGACTAAGCTGACGAGGGTAGATTCAGATTAGATACTAGGAAAAAATTCTTCACTATGCAGGTGGTGAGGCACCGGCACAGGTTGCCCAGAGAAGCTGTGGCTGCCCCATCCCCGGCAGTGTTCAAGGCCAGGTTGAACAGGGCTTGGAGCAACCTGGTCTAGTGGAAGGTGTCCCTGCTTATGGCAGGGGGTTGGAACTCGATGAGCTTTGAGGTCACTTCCAACCCAAACCATTCTATGATTCTATGATTTGTACATTGGGACAACATTAACCGTCCCCTGATGTCCACAGACCAATGTGCTGATGCTTGTACATGGCAGTTTTGCCTCATGTGACCGCCAAGTTAATCCTATGCCCCTAAAGCAGTACCCTCAGTTTGATTGACCTGGCAGACAGTTGCCCTTCTGCTTGACTGGTTGCTTCTTGGGCTGGCTCTGCCTGCTGGGTTGGTACTTTTCACAGCAGCCTTTAGAGCTTGACCTATTTTTTCACTGTCGTAGGCTTTAACTGGCATGAAAACTTGAAAATATAGGTAGTGACATTGATACAGAAAGAAAATGACACAATGAGAAGCTATCCAGGAGTATTAAGGTGCTTAACTGTGAAAAATATTGCTCTTAATATACAGTACTTTAATATTTGGGTAACTGCTACATAAACAGGAGCTGTCAGCTATTAACATCTTTGTAAAACAGGGCCTTTTACTTAGGGTATAACTTCAGGTACCCGAGTTTGACAGCCATAAAAACTTCAGGTTCCAAATATCAAGGCCTACCTCATAGCTCAGTAGACAGCATATGTCAGGCCATTGCTCAAGGGCCTGCAGGAAGGTTTTGGTTGGGGAGCTGGACTCTCTGTGACCTGAACTAAAGAGCTAGGGCCCAGAGCCATAAGGATGTTTTAGATATGTACACCCCCAGGAAAATCCCAGAGCTCTGGGACTCCAAGTTGCATCTTCTATGTTACTCTGCTCCCTCCAGCTCTTCCCAGACTCTTGTCTCCCTTCAGCTCCCTGTGGCTGGATGTTGTTGCCTCTGCAGATTTTGCATGTTTGCATCTCAGCAACCCTTCCCCAGCCACTGCCAGCAGATACAGGGTTGTGTGAACAGCCTGGACTGTAAATCAAAGCGGTCAAGGCACAGACATGTGTTACCTCTGGCCAGCTTCATTGCAGACAGGAGCCTGGTTTGGTAAAACATTAGATTCCCTTTGTAAGGTTGCACAGAGCTTGTCTGTCACAGCTCCTGATTCTGAGTCTGTGAGAGCTCGTGGGAATTCACTACAGGAGTTAACTTCATTTATAGTAGATGACAGCTAGATTTTTAATGGTTTCAGGGAACAGAACAGAGATGTTTGATGCCTTCATCTGCTACTGTCAGAAGGACCTTCAGTTTGTCCAGGAGATGATCAGGGAGCTGGAACAAACGGAGTTCAAACTGAAGCTCTGTGTGTTTGATCGGGATGTCTTGCCAGGAACGTGTGTGTGGTCCATCAGTGGAGAACTTATAGAAAGGAGGTAAGTGAACCATGGCTGCTTGGGATAGCTGAGTGTAACGGAACATGACGTTCATTTCACCATGATGTCTGCAGTGTGGCGCCAGTGAAGCAGTAAAAATCCACAAGGATGTCTTTATGGGGTTTGTTTTATGCTCTTGGCTCAAGCAGGAAGACTCGAGCATTCCCAAACATGTTGCTTCATTGTGTTCACAAGGGAGGTGCCACGACAGTGATGCTGCTTAGGTTTAATCCCTTTTTGGCTGGAACATCCTGCAGTCGCATCCTTGAAGTTGATCTGGAAATGAATATAGCTCCAGGCTGAGTTCCTTCTCACAGTGTGGATGTTGCAGGGACAGCACTGGTGTTGGCTCTGGCACTTCAGGATCCTTTAGACCTGAGTAGGACTCAGGTGTGGTGGGAGCTGCGGGACAGAAAAGCAACTCCCTAGGCAGGGAGTGACAAATCCTGAGGCAGGTGTTTGGATTTTAAACATCAGCCTTTCAGAGGGATACAGCTTGGCATTAACAGACACCCTTGTGAGGCCTTATTCTCCTGGCTGTGGTACAGCATAGCCTTCCATAAAGAGCCTAATATGTAATTTACAATTAGGCACCTCAAAGGAATGTAAGCAACAAATTGGAGAATAAAGCTCCAATTTATGAACCCAGGTGAATTCACTGTTGTGTGAGTACAATACAGCTTTGTCCGGTTCATTCTAATATTAAAAATGCCCTGTCAGGCTCAGTCAGTAAAGGCAGCATGAAAGCGGGTAGAGTTAAGATGGCTTTGTGTGTAATACCTAAACAGAGGATCAAATAAAGTTTGCACGGACAATCTGGACTTTGCTATTTCTTCATGTTTTGGTGTATGAGCATGTATCTGCAATCAGGTTTTTGTGTAACATAGCCAGCAGTCCTTGCTCTCTAGTTCATTCCTGCTGGAACACGGCGGTTTCATTTTTCCAATTCAGAGGAGCACACACTTCTACCAGTGAAAAGGGGAAGCATCCCTGTTGACATTCTGTTTTTTTCTCCCCTAACTGCTTATTGCAGGTGCCGGAGGATGGTGGTTGTCATTTCAGACGATTACCTGGAAAGCGATGAATGTGATTTTCAGACCAAATTTGCTCTTAGCCTTTCCCCAGGTAAGATCTCACAAAAATCCCTTTTAAAGTTGTGTATCAGCGTTACAATTTTCATTATAGTAACACGCAAAGCTCCAGCTGAGGTCGATGGGCAGTGTGGTATTGGGGACTGCACAAATGCAGAATGAGGGGTAGTCTCACATGTGTTTAAACAACTGAGATAAATATGGGTGAAAAGGAGAAAACAAATAACTGATAGTTACAGAACTGGTAACTCAGTCTCAGACCTGGGTTCCCACCACTGACCTACCTACATCTGAGAGGGACTTTTGACAAAGGCATGTAGGAATAGAACAAGGGCAAATGGCTTTAAACTGACAGAGGGGAGATTTAGATGAGATATTAGGAAGAAGCTCTTCCCTGTGAGGGTGGTGAGGCCCTGGTACACCTTGCCCAGAGAAGCTGTGGCTGCCCCATCCCTGGCAGTGTTCATTGCCAGCTTGGATGGGCCTTGGAGCAACCTGGTCTAGTGGAAGGTGTCCCTGCTTGTGGCAGGGGGTTGGAACTGGATGATCTTTAAGGTCCCTTCCAACCCAAACTATTCTGTGATTGTATGATACCTTTCACATGTGTGGAAATCCACCCAGGCTCAGGGCTTGCTCTGGCTGTAATGCCCTTCACTCAGCAAGCAGATTAGAAGCAGCCATTAAAATGAATGGCGGCTTTCTAATGTTGTTGTGCAGGCGGGGACCTGAACTTGGTTCCTTGTCCTGCTCTTGACCTTCTATGTGATGGTGAGTGAGCAGCTTAGCTGTCTGAGATTCAGTGCTCCAGCTTAAGTTGACTAACACTGCTTGCTTCAGAGATGCTGTAGCTGCAGTCTCTCTGAAGTGCTTCAAGACCCATATGGGAAATAAGCTACAAAAGAAAGGAGTATTCTAATCAATTCAGGGTGTGAGTAAATGCTGGGAATACGGTAGCAGGTAATGAACATGCAGCTTTTTTCAGAGATCTGTGAGTATTGTGGATAGGTAAACAAAATATGGGATGAATGTTCAACTTGGAGTGGCAGTATCTGTTGCATGCATTGTTCTGAATTGAAAAGCCATCGATTTACTTCTGTCAAGTCTGTTCAGATTGCTCTTTTCTAAGCACCAGATATTCTACACTTGTGCATGTTGCTGGGGAGTAAGTGCAGCACAACCTGATACCATGGAGGATATGTAGTATCTGCAGAAGTGTCTATGTAAAGTCTCTTCTCTAGATGAGGTACCTGACATCCAGAAGTTTAACTGTAAGCCAGTGGCAGACCTCAGAATTAGCTCCATCTTCCTGATACAGTAATTTCGTACGATGGCCGTTAATCTACTGACCACCCCTAACATGTTGCATCAGCCCCCAGTCATAATGATTTGTAGCAAAGTTCTTTTAGTTCCTCACCATTTTTTTGTTGGCATCATACCTTTCATTAGAGCAATGGGAAATGTCCATTGTATGTAATGACCTCAGCTCTACCAGTAAAAACATGCGAGTACAGGTTTACAGAAATGACAGTCACTTGCACGGGGTAACTAATACACAGAAGGGTTTGGTGGCAGGTTCTGCAAGCTTGGATTACTTAAGCCTCTACTGCAGTTACAAAATCTTAGTTATTTGCCTCATCCAGGTCTCAGCATCAGCACATGTGCTGGGCAGCACAGGATAGCTGGTGCCAGGCATCCCCATGGAGAATAGAGGGAGAGTTCCTCTTTAGAAGAGCTGCTTGTGAATCAGAGGAGATTTCTTTCATCTTGTGCAAGCCTCAAAGAAAGTTCATGTTTGCAGGGTGATTCCTTGCAGCCCCCTGTTGGAACACATCTGCAGCCTATCTAAGTAAATCAGGGTAGGAAGAAAAAGAAATGGAGATAACCCAGCAAAGCTGACCTTACAGAAGCAGCTTAGTCTCCTGAATTTTCTCATTATGCATACCTGGAAGTAGACAGGATTGTATATACCTGTTTGTGTTCCACAAGAAGCTGTGCTTTGTTGTTTTGTATCTGCAGGGCATTGGGCCGTTATCTCACCCATTTGGGATCACTGCAAGTTGCCCTACATGTTATGGATGAGGCTTGTAGTTGAGTGAAATGTTCTTAGCAGGGCGCTTGGGATTCAGATACTTGCTCTCGAAGTGAGAGCTAGCTGCAGTGTAATGAGATGACACACAGTTGGGAGCAAGCGTGGATCCTGTGACATGTGTGCTGTGCTGGGGAGAAAATGCATCCAGGACCTGCCTGTTGTTCTGTGTGATCCTCTGCCTGTGTGATCTGTCTTTCAGGTGCTCGTCTCAAACGGCTGATTCCAGTCAAGTGCAAAACCATGAAGAACGAGTTCCCAAGCATCTTACGGTTCATTACCGTTTGTGACTACACCAATCCTTGCACCAAAAAGTGGTTCTGGACAAGACTGGCAAAATCCCTCATGCTGCCGTGATGCAAAGTCACAAGAGCGAGATGTTCTTCTGCACTCTGTCCTGGCTGCACCTTTGGACTGTGGTGTCGTTTCACATAGGATCTTGAACCACTTCAGAGCCTGGATCCTTCCAGTCAGTGTTTGGAGCCTGCGACTGGGAGCAAAGAATCTTCTCTTGTACTTCTTCATAACTTGGAAGGGGAAATAAAGCAACTCTGTGGCTGTTCCTGCTCAAGTCAGTGAGTATCCAGCATTTTGTGTAGGAAGCACTTTCACTGAAAATACAGAAAATAGATGTTTAAATACTGTCTAATACAAGAAGGCTCTATTATAAGCATTTAATAAGCCCTCAGTTTCAAACAGCAAGCTTTCTTAAACAAGTATTTCTTATTATTTTAAAGGCTGTTTAATGGCTATAGTAATGTTTAAGGTTTTAAATCCAGTGAAGTCCCATGGCTGCCTGGTGATCTGCAGGAACTGAGGTTTCAGACTTACTTTCCTGCTCTGTGAATGGCTGGTGCCATGAGAATGGCTGGTTTCAGCAGGGAGGCCCAGCCTGCCCTGCTGCTGGGCAGTCTTTAGCCCACACTGGTTCTGAGGGTAGTCAGTCTTCTTCAGTCCTTGTTTGGACAAAAGCAGAAGTGTATTTTAATTGTTAAAGAAATGAATGGTTCTCCCATTATGCTTAGCAATATCTGCAAAATTAGAGCAATTATCTATGTAATTATAACTAATGCAGAATTACTGAGCTTGGTGTATTTTCTGTGGAGGTTTTTCTCCTCAAGTTATATCACAGTATTCCTGTCTTGTATTCCTTTACAGGGTAAATCCCTTGTCACTAGTATTTTCTGAGGCAGTCCCTCAAGTTTACTCTAGTTGTTGAAAGCAAGAAGGATACACTGTTGTATGACCTTGGTTGTGCCTGTCTTCTGCTCAGGTCACGTTTTGATTAAGTGACCTCATACCAATATTTTACATTCCCAGATGTTACAAAATGTTTACAACAGAGCCTTCCTTTAGTAGAAATTCATAAAACATATTATTTTCTGTGAAAGTCCTTACTGCACAAAGTGCAGGCTGCTGTTGGTGCAGGAACGGGGCTATGCATCTTTGTGGATCCAGATCTTGAATGCTTCACCTTTAAGAGCGTTCCAAAACACATCAGCTGTTGGGGTGCCTCAAAGGCATAGGGATAAATATTGAATAAAGAGTGTATTAAATTATTAATTAGGCTGCTTAAAATATAAAGGCTAGTATTACCTTGATAGGAAAGAGCATATTTAAATGAACCACCACAATAATTACAGTGTTTCTGTGGCTAAGGCTCAGAGCAGCATTGATCTTGTTCTGCTTGTTAGACTTGGATCCTTCAGAGCGACCAGTGGATCTCATCAGTTCTCTGTGCACAGGGCTCTGGGGCAAGAGTTCTGCCCAAAGTAGCATTTTAAAGCAACCCCTCGGTGTATTAAACAGATTTACAGCAAATATTTACTTTATAAATTGGGAAGAAAGGCACCTTGCTTATGTATCTGCAGTTGCTTGAACTCTGGCCCTTCACTCGTTACTTCAGCTACTGACTCATGTTGATTTTACAGTTTAATGTTTTACTAGTTTAAATTTTTAAGGTTGCATCTGGATGTGATTTTGTTGGTTTTTTTTTTAAAAGGATTTGTTGTACAGCATTACCATAGCTGAGGTACAGACTGAAACGTGTGCTCCTGCCTCTCCCTCACCCACCTTGTTGATGAACGGTGGTGGTGTAAAGTCCTGACAGCAGCCAGCCATTGACCTGAACACGGTGGATGGAGCTTGTTCACACACATCACGTTAGTGTCAGGGCTCGTTTATGGACAGGCTCATGAGCTGGGAGTTATTCAAACCCTCCTGCAAACATAAACTGCTGCCATTGTGCCAAGGTGATATTTGTACCTTTCTGTTTTGCTAGAACGAGTGAGCAGTCTGTGGGCATGGCAGGAGAAACGTTAAGCTGATGAGGGGGTTTCTGAATAGTTGGGCTTCATGTCCTATTGCCCTCAGGCATCCTGCAGTAGTGGAGACAGCTGCTTGCCTCGGGGGGTCTGCATAATCGGTAAAAGTTAATTGCAGAAGAGTTTCTTCTGGAGGCTGCTTGATCCCCAGGCACGCTCCTGGGGCTCAGTGAATTCTCATACTCTGGAGTGTCTGTAAACATTAATTATGGGTCATTACTCGCAGGACCAAACCAGATTCCTCTTGTTCTGAGAACTGAAAGGACTCTGGTAACTAGTTCGTGGGGAGCAGAGGCTCAGGAGGCTGCGCTGCAGACGCTAGAGGGAGGTAATGGCCCGTGCTGACACCCTGCGAGGGTCCTGCCCGCTGACAAAGAGAAGTGTTTTTTTCTCTCTTCACTCTTTTCTAAGGAGGCCGTATCAAAACTAGCGTGAGTTTTGACAGATTGAATCTCGTGTAGTGAGTCCTGATGGGTGGTTTGGGATTTGGGATGTTGGGAATGAGGAAAAAAGTAACAGCAGCAAAAATAATCATGTTTGTGATCGATGATGTGGTGATCATTGGATGGGGGAATGGCTGCTTCTGATCAGGAAAGCAGAAACCAGAGCTGAATTCCTAAATCTTCTGGCTTCCAATAGGTAAATGCAATATTCCAGTTAATGGTGAAAGATGTCAGTGCTTGGGTGGGCTCTCCCTGTCCTGGTCCCCTGGTCTGCCTGACGCGATGCTGGGTGAATGTTGTTGCTGTCAGGCTGTTGCTTTACTGCAGGCTTGTCCTGGAGGCTAAAATAATTACTTGGGGTAATAAAAAGTGAGGTAACAGCCCATAAATGTAAAATATGTGCCTTAAATATGTATCCTCTTCTATGTAAAAACCAGATTGTGTGCTTCTGACATTCTGATACCTGTCTGGTCACAGTGGAGGGTGACATCTGTGAACAGTATAAAGTCTAGTTACTATAAACATGTTTCAGTAGCAGTTGGGATTTTCCTCCCCTCTTTCACGCTCAGTGGAAGGTCAAAAATTTGAACACCTTTAAGAAAGGAACTTATAAAATTGTGATGTTGCTTTTTTTTTTTTTTGTCCCATTTTGTTTCCTTCCCTCACTGAAATTGTCCTAGTTGAATCTTAGTACCAAATCATATATTTTTATATATATATACATATATATTTTTATTACTTCTAACCTGATCGAATCTGTGGAGAAGCCTATGTGTTGTGTAGCCATTCTGCAAATAGTCAACCCTTCTGTGTTTTTTCTCCTCAAAACCCCAAAAATTTGCTACTTGTGAGAACTTTTAAAATAAATCGAGAATTAAAACCCAGCAGGCTGAATCTCCTTCACGGGCATCGGAGAAGAGATACTAGGTGTCAAAATTAAGTGTCAGTGAGAAATGACATGGGCTAGGTTGAGGGGTTGTTTTTCATGTTTTGCCTAAACAGCTTCCTCAGAGGAGGCTTTTGGTGGTGCCTGGGAGAGGCAGAGCTGTGTCACACCAGGAGGAAAATGATCAAGGTATTGTTCTTCAGACAAGTGTGGTTCCTCTGCAGTGCTTGTTTTTGGCTCTGTGGGCTGCGTCCGTTGCTGTCCTGGACTCACTTCAGCCCTGGTGCCCAGCAGGCTGGAGGGGATAAGCTGGGGCCTCTGCTGTTGGCCCCCAGGAAGCAGGGATGCCAGGCAGTTGGCTCCTGCTCCACAGTCTTTCTGGAGGCCCCGGCAGGGGATACATTGCAGTGCAGTGATCAGGAGGATTTTGCCAGCTTTATTTCCTTTGGCTCAGAGTCAGGCCAAGCCAGGGAAATAACTCGAAACCCAGCAGCTGCCAGGCCAAGGCCCTGCCCCAGGAAAAGATGAAGGATCCCCAATCACGGAAGTGTTGGTTGGAAGGAATTTCTGGAGGTCAAGGACAAGCTGTACGTCACAACAGGAAGGGCTGTCGCTGTACCGCTTGCTGGACAATATTCCAAGCATACGAAGAATGTCTTTGCTATGGCTTTTATGAGTGAACATATGGAAAGTGATATAGAAACCATCCCTGACTATATTACTCCAGATAGAAATTGCTGGCAGAGCAGCCTGCCAGGAGAGTCTCACTTTGTGCTACCCACCTGTCTGCATGTGTTTGAGCAGTTAATGGTTTCCACCTATATTTGGGTGTGAGAGTCAGGCAACATCAGGGGGTCCAGCTGTGGCAGGTCTTTTCTAGCTGTTGTTCCTCTTGTGCCAAAGAAATATTCCCAGTCCTCTATTTCACTTTGATGCAGAACATCAGCGCCATTTCCTCTATTTGGAGGACAGTGTTTACCTGGTGAAATTCAGTAACTGCTGCAGAACATTCTCAGCTTCAGAGATGGAGACTGTGAGATGAAGCATTGCCCCTTGACAGATCAAATTCTGTTTTCCTTCATGCCGACATGAGTTGCTTTATCATGACTGACACCCTGCATGGTCCAGAGGGCACGTTTACAGGAAGAAAAATAGCATATGGAAGAAAATCTAATTATACATAAAAAATGGCTGGGAAAATGTTGTGTGAGCATCCTGGAAATATATTTTAAGGCAGCAGTAAATGTAAACATCAAATAGAAGGTTCACATTACTGGAAAGCATGCTAATGGAGCTTCTTGAAAAGCACCCCTGTCAGACCTGCTGGGGTTTTACTACACAACCTGACATGTGCTGTATACAAATACTTCACTAAAGGTAATTTTCCGCAGGTGCTATGTTAAACCCATTTCTGGTTCAGCTGATCTCCACTAGTGTTTGAACCCAACCCAACCCAACCCAACGTCATGATGAACCACCATCAAGCACAACCCAGAAGGCTTGTTTATTTTGTAGCAAAATTTGCACTCAGGAGAATTAATATTGTTGTATCAACTGGAGCTGTGCTGCTCTGCAAAGGTTTAATTAACTGAAGGTGTATTTGAGTCTTAAGCTGTTACAAAGTCTGATTTAGAAACAATGCATTTTGTGTTCCCATAGCAGAGCCTGGCTTAGTGACGTGCTTTTCCCTCCTCCTGTTTCTACTGATGAAGCTGCTCCTGCAGTGGCAGAGGCTGGGGCTGCCTATGCCCACCAGACATGATTTCTCCTCTCTCAGCTGGAGAATGTTGCATCAGCTGCCCCTGGGGTTCCTCCTGGCCTGCAGCCAGCAGAGGGGCTTTGATTCCACTTTTCCCCAGTTCTTAGTCTTGCTTAGGTTGGGGTTTTGGTGGGGCTGGACTGGAAGGAGGGAATGAATATGGTCTGCATTGGCAGGAGGTGAGGAGGAGAAAAACCCTTGTGCTAAGCCTGGTGAGAATGTGTAGGCTCAACGCTATGAATCTTTGCTTTCTGAATGAAATCAAAGTCATGAGGCCACTGTTTAGGATGCTAAAGTTAGGAACAGGATGGAATCAGAGGAAATATGGTCAGGCAAATGTGGGGGTGACAATGAAGTGAACTTTCACAAAGTTTCTGCAGCATTTTTCTGGCTCTAATCTTCAGCCTTCTGTTTGTGTCAGCAGAACTCAGTGGAAGAGCTGCAAGTCCTAAGGTGCTTGGGTGCCAGTTTATGATCTGTTGCCTCCAAAACAAAAAACACCATTCAGGAGGGGAAAACCGGGTGAACAAACCTGCAGGTTGTGTGCCATTCCCTGTCAGGGCAGAGCCATGGCAGTCCCCATGCTTTACAGCAACATTTTCAAAAGCATTCAGAAATCTGGTTGACAGGTTTAAAACTACTGAATCATGGAAAATTTGGTGTTCGATTTCTGGCAGACACCCCCAGCTGAAATATACATGGAAATGAGATTTAAAGTGCTTTGAGCTGAGGACTAAAATGGACATTGGCCTTAAAATGTCAGTGTTTCAGCATCTCTAAAACCTCACATGGGTATGCAAAAGACTATTTTTCAGTATCAGTAAAGGGCTTTTGAGATCTGTAGAAAGAAAAGCAAAGAAGAGAAGCATCACATTTTTGACTCTAAAGCAATTTAGTCTAGAAATGAATATTCCCTGTTTTTTCCTAACAGTTATTCTTTAGCATCCTTGGTGACTGCACCTCTCCTAGCACTGCAGTCTAGCATCTGCCAAGCTGCATTGTTTTATCGAGCATCACGAATGGAAGCTCTTAAGATTTTCTATCTGTGTTCTTGGAAATCTCGCCTCATCAGCATGTTGCTCTCAGCAGACGGGTTTTTCTTCAGCTCCAAGTCATGCATATTGATCAGTCTTGATTTTCTTTCGTTACCT